AACCAAAAAAGAATGTTGTCTTGCTGCCAAACAGCTTTACACAACTTGCACAAAACTTCTGGACCGAATCACTGCAACACACACTTCAAATACACTGTCAAGAGCTAAAAGCTCTGAGTTTGCATAAAGCTAATGTAAACATAACTTAGTTTTCTTAGAAAAGGTTTTCTAAAGTAAATACAGCACGCTATCATAGAGCTCAAAGGTCAAAGAGAGCATTAAGACAGCCAAGATATTTCGCAATCCGGTGCTTTCTGATGAGCTGTGCTCCAAAAAGCTCCAAAAAAGGAAAAAAAAAAAAAAGAGAGAAAAACTTAACCTAACTAAATACAAAACGTAACTGCAAACATATCTATCTGGTCTCATTTTTGCAAAGTTTTTATTTTTTAATTTTTAATTTTTGCTTTTCTGGATCTCTGCTTCAATGGTAAGGGGATTTCTGGGCCACACAACAAAAACCAGTTTGCATACTGGACGAATGAGTTGATGACAACTTCTTCAGTATGTCTGAAAAATGGCATCCTTCCCAGTTCCTGATTTTGATGTGGCAATGGTATATCCTCCTTTTCCGTCTAAGTTTTGGGAATCTTGTTCTTGTTAAATTACTGGCAATTTTAAATATTTGCTCATTTCAGAGTGACTCTGCACAACTGTACGACTATTTAAATTGACTGATGTGTCTGCACCAAGACTCTTTATACAATAAAGTGAGCGATGTGGTTTTATACCTTTTTTTAATTTTACAGGCACTTATTTAAAGCTAAATAAAACCATCTAACCTAACAGATCACTTAATGGTTTTAAACCTTACAAACTTTCCCGCGCAAATTCATATCTTTAACCACCATGCCACACCACCACAAATGCTGCAATGGGAAATTCCTGCACCAGTGCATTTCATAAAGGGTTTTTTTACTATAATTTTAAATATATGTTTTCTATTTTAATATATTTTAAGATGTATTTTATTCATGTGATGCAAAGCTGAATTTTCAGCATCATTACTCTAGTCTTCAGTGTCACATGATCCTTCAGAAATCATTCTAATAGGCTGATTTGCTGCTCAAGAAACATTTCTTATTATTATCAATGTTGAAAACAGTTTGCTATGTAATTTTGTTTTTAGTGGAAACTGTGGTACTTTTTCCCGGATACTTTGATGAATGAACACAAAAAATAAATAAATAAATAAACAAATGTCATATCTATATTTGTAGGCTATCTATCTGTCTTTATATATACATAAGGGGAGTTTCCTCTGAGGAGGCAAGGGAGGCAGTGCCTCCTCAAAAGAAAAAAGTTTGCAAAACAAAAATAAACAACGGCAATATTACAAAATATAACATTAAAACGTGTATAAATCACTCTTTTTTTCTAAGGAAACATTGTCTAACAGCTGCACCAGCAGGTAAAGTTACAGTGGGACTGTGCATCTCTCTTGCCTACCCTGAGCCCATTGAGTTTTAACAGACCCCCTGGGGGGAAGTCACGCAAGAGGAGGCTCCGTCGCGATATGACTGGTTATATTCGACTGTGATTGGTTCATGTGATAAATCCCGACTCTTGTGTTTGTGCACGTTCATGAATCTGAATGAACAAAATGATGGCGTTAATGGGGAGACTAATTTAAAAAAGTAAGTAAACAACTCTGTTAAAGGAGACATATTATGCTCCTTTTTACAAGATGTAATATAAGTCTCTGGTGTCCCCAGAATGTGTCTGTGAAGTTTCAGCTCAAAATACCCCACAGATCATTTATTATATAATTTTGAAAATGCCTATTTTGAGTGGAAGCAGAAACACGCTGTTTTTCGTGCCTGTCTTTTTAAATGCAAATGAGCTGCTGCTCCCCACCCCCTTTTCCAGAATAGAGCTGCGACATTACAGTTCGTACTTGCTCCATGTTTATCATGCTGAAAGCATGCATTTTAAACCATATTAGTTTAAACTTATGATATACTGTTCCCTTTCAGTCAGTCACATTCAACGTTACGTCAGTCGTGACTGACGAATTGGGATCTCGCCCGAGAGCCCAATCACCTTCGAGTGTTAACTGGTATCAGTACAAGGTCCTCCCCTTCGGGCTGTCCCTGTCGCCTCCTGTCTTCACCAAGGTCGTGGAGGCAGCCCTCGTTCCATTGAGGGAAGCGGGCATTCGTATTTTCTACTACCTCGACGACTGGCTCATACTGGCCCAGTCCCGAGCTCTTCCAGGCATGTTGTTGTGTCAACAGGTGCCTCGGCCAGGGGCTGGGGTGCCATGTGCAATGGGAATGGGCTCTGGTCGGGGCCCCGACTGCAGTGGCATATCAACTGCCTCGAGTTGCAAGCAGTATGTGTCCCAGGCGAGCTCAATCGTGCAGCCGACGAGCTTTCACGTCAGCCCGCCCTTCCGGGAGAATGGCGACTCCACCCCGAGACAGTCCGGCTGATTTGGAGATGCTTTGGGGATGCTCAGGTGGACCTGTTTGCCTACCCGGACACGTCCCATTGCCAGTTGTTTTACTCCCTGGCCGAGGGGACCCTCGGCACGGACGCACTGGCGTGCAGCTGGCCTCGGGGCCTACGCAAATATGCGTTTCCCCCAGTGAGCCTTCTCGCACAGAAGGCTCACTGGGGGAAAACCCTATGTGAAAAATTAATTGCCCGCACCTTTTAAATCAAGAAAGAACTGTGATTGACCACATTATTTTAGAAAGCGGAGTTAAATTTCACTAGCCACACCCAAGCCTGAGTACTGCCAGACCTGTTGAATAAAGAAATCACTTAAATAGAACCTGTCTGACAAAGTGAAGCATGCTAAGTAACAAATGCCACGATCTAAAGAAATTCAAGAACAGACGAAAAACAAAATAGTTGACATGTATCAGTCTGGAAAGGGTTATAAAGCCATTTCTAAAACTTTGGGACTCCAGCAAACCACAATCAGAGCCATTATTCACAAATGGAGAAAACTTGGAACAGTGGTGAACCTTCCCAGGAGTGCTGGGGCCTACCAAAATTACTCCAAGAGCGCAACGGCGACTCATCCAGGAGGTCATAAAATAACCCAGAACAACATCTAAAGAACTGCAGGCCTCACTTGCCTCAATTAAGGTCAGTGTTCATGATTCAACAATAAGAAAGAGACTGGGCAAAAACAGCATCCATGGGAGAATTCCAAGGCAAAAGCCATTGCTGATCAAAAAGAACACACACTCACATTTGCCAAAAAATATCTTGATTATCCCCAAGACTTTTGGGCAAATATTCTGTGGTCTGTGGAGACAAAAGTCAAGAAAAACAAAATTAAGGTTTTGGAGTGGCCAAGTCAAAGTCCGGACTTAAATCCGATCGAGATGCTGTGGCATGACCTTAAACTGTCCATTCATGCTTGAAAACCCTCCAATGTGGCTGAATTAAAACAATTCTGCAAAGAAGAGTGGGCCAAAATTCCTCCACAGCGATGTGAAAGACTCATTGCCAGTTATCGCAAACGCTTGATTGCAGTTGTTGCTGCAAAGGGTGGCACAACCAGTAATTGGATTTAGGGGGCAATTACTTTTTCACATAGTGCCAGGCAGGTTTGGACAGCTTTTTTCCCTTAATAAATTAAATAATTATTTCATAACGGCAATTTGTATTTACTCGGGTTATCTTTGTGTAATATTAAAATTTGTTTGACCTGAATCATTCAAGTGTGACAAACATGCAAAAAAAAAAAAAAAAAACACAGGAAGGGGGCAAAAACCATTTATTAAAATACTAAATACTAAAATAGTATTAAATCTGTCTATCTAGTAACATTTTACATGTCTTTACAGTCACTTTTAATCAATCAATTGATTAATCGGTTTAATGCAATTTGCTAAATAAAAGTAATTATTTCAAAAAAGAAATTGAACCGTAGTGTAATTATACAGAGGGATGAAATGTAAGCAAAAAATAAATAAAAAACAATAAATACAAAGGATATACAAAATCATAAATAACAATTAACAATTGAAAAGTGGTATACGGTCTTAAGTGACAATTGCAGCAATTTAGGACAACATGTGCCTCCTCTCCGCATTTCTGTCTCTTGCTTCATCCACAAAAACTGACTCATCATGCTTTCTCATAGAGGTTTAAACCTGGCGATATAGCGATCTCTGTTGGGCGTCGCCATCAACATTCTTCACTGTTTCTCTCAAATGAGTAACCCCCCCCCCAAAAAGTGTCATTTTATTTGTTCACCCTCATGTCGTTCCAAACCTGAATGACTTTCTTTCTTAAGGAAGTGACACAAAATCCCATGAAAATAGGGCATTAGTCAGACTTAATGATTTTGAGGTCTGTCTGCCTCAACATGTCAGACAGTAGCAGTGGTTGCATGTTCTGACGCTGATATGCATCATTGTGCTGCTGAATGTTAACCGCTTGGATGTTGAGTGACTGGTTTTGGCAACTGAGATGCACACAATAGAAGTGATCCAGGGGGAATATACTTTCTTATCTCTAAGAAACACTATGAGTCAAATGTTTGGACTGGGTTTGTTTGCAATATCTAAAAATCCTTTTGATTTAAAAAGGGCTGTGTGCAAATACTTGCAATAGATTAGATTTCATATATTTTGAGTTTAACTAAATGTATGATGCATGTAATATGTATAAAAATGTTTTAAGGGAAACTTTTTTTTTTCACTTGAACAAAAATACAGCATACATAACTATATAACACATTTTCAAACAGAGCTATTGTGTAAATATATAACCAATAATTTGGTCAAATCTCACTTTTTAAGTCAACATGTGCAGTCAGCAATTGATTTCTAACCTGCATTTCTTTGGAATTATTTTGTTCACTTATTTCTCTCACTTTCCCTTCTTTTCCCCTCTTTTCTGTCTCACTTACACTCCCTCCCTTTATGCTCCGACAGGCATAAATTTGGAAATTCCGGTGTAGCAAACGGCATGATTGCTGGGAAATGTTGTGGGTCTGGGAATTCCTCTCGTGCCCTATAAAAGACAGAGGAGAGGCTTTACTCCTCACACTTTCACTACAGCTCCACTAGGACTTACTACTTTCTCTGAAAGCTCAGCAAACCACTGCAGCTGATCTTTTTGTGTTTCTTACCTATTTATTACACTAGCAAATTAGTTATGGCATTTTTACCCAGAGCCCTTCTTCTGCTGCTGCTTGCAGTAGTTTGTATCCAACTGAGTGGAGGTAAGACATTAATGACACTTTACATAATATTGCTTTTTATAGTCAGGTATTGCAGGAATTTGGTGCTTTTTTGATGCTTTTTTCGCATGATGCAGAGAGCTTTTTATGCAGAATTACTATCTTCTGTCAGAATCATGCATTTTAAATGAATCTTTCTATGCTTTTCTATGTTAACAGTCCTAGCTGATGGACCTGACAGGTGCTGGTGTTTGAATAGTTTGAAGAAACGTGTCCCAAGAGAAGAAATTGAAGAATTCTCTATTTTCCCCCGAAGATCAAAGTGTGACAACGTTGAAATCATGTAAGTGTCAATATCTTAACCTGCATACAATAAAATGCTACATATTATATTTACACTCTAAAAAATGCTGGGTTGTTTCAACCCAATGTTGG